TGCACTTGTATGTGCTGACATGCGGATGCGCTTTGGCGGACGCCCACAACGACGCTGTGAGCGTATTGACATCAGCCAACTGACAAAACCAGCTGTTCTGAATGCGTATCAAAGTACGCTAACATGCGAGTTGAGCAAGCGCTCACAGGAGACAATTGATGGCCACTGGTCACATGTTCGAAGGACCTTAATAGCAGCAGGCAAATCCTCATGTGGTATGTCTAATAGACAACATGGACATTGGGTCACTTCGAAGTCTCTGGAACTTATACATGCTCGCCGGCAAATCCCGGCTGGAAGCGAGCACAATGAAACTCGTAAAGAGCTCCGGGCAAAACTCCGTGCTAGCCTGAAGAGAGACCGCGAATCTTGGTGGTCTCATCGTGCGTCAGAGATGGAAGTGGCCGCTGCCCTAGGCAACCATCGTAAGTTATTCCGTCTGATACGGGAAACGGGCAGCAGGAGACCTGGTGTTAGTGAAACTATACGTGACGAGAGTGGACAGCCTATCCACAATTTGTCAAAACGTCTGGAGCGTTGGGCTGAGCATTTCGAAAAGCAATTTAATCGGCAAGAATTGTTCGATTCGCCGGGCACTGATCGCCCCGCTCCGTGGGCTGTCCCTTTGGATCCACCCTCTCGCTCAGAAGTCGAACGTGAGAGCGGACTGTTGAAGTTGAACAAAGCCGCGGAACCAGATGATCTTCCTCCAGCCCTCTTCAAATTTGGAGGCTCTGCTCTTGTTGATGCTTTGCATGAAGTACTAGTGAAACTGTGGGAGCAGGAAACTGTCCCAACCGACTGGAGCCGCTCCGTTATTGTTCCCATCTTCAAAGGCGGCTCGCGCTCGGAATGCGGCAACCATAGAGGAATCAGTCTGATCTCCATCGCCTCCAAATTACTCGCGTCCATAATTCTCCACAGACTGACTGGCGCTCGTGAAAGCCAGATTGGTGAGGAGCAAGCCGGGTTTCGTCGGGGTCGTGGCTGCATCGACCACATCTTCACCTTGCGACAGTTGTTGGAGCACCGTCACACATATTGGCGGCCAACCGTAGTCGTGTTCCTCGACATCAAAAGTGCCTTCGATTCGGTTGATCGATGTGCCCTTTGGAATTGTCTACTCAGGAAAGGTGTGCCCGAGAAATATGTAAATATTATCCAAGCATTATATGCGCGTAGCACGGGCAGAGTAAGGGCTTACAGCAGGCTGTCGCCACCCTTCAATATCTCCAGCGGTGTGAGACAAGGATGCCCGCTGTCACCTTTCCTATTCAACTTCGCTATTGACGAAGTCATGGAGATTGCATTTACAGGACATGACTTGGAAGGTGTGGAGCTACTCCCAGGAGAACGACTTCTTGACTTAGAGTATGCAGACGACATTGCCCTCATCTGTGACAGCTCCCAGACGTGTCAAGCCGCGCTGGACAGATTAGCACTGGCTGTCAGTCGCTTCGGGCTTTGCTTTGCACCACCGACGTGCAAAGCGTTCCTCCAGGATTGGCAGGGTTCGCCCCCTGTGCTGACCCTTGGAGGGGATCAGCTAGAAGTCGTTCAGAAATTCAATTACCTGGGAAGTTGTATCAGCGCCCTTGGGATCGAAGACGAGATCACGAACCGCATAGCGAAAGCTCGAAGTGCTTTTGCTAACCTTCGCCACCTATGGCGACGGCGCGACATTACTCTCGCTCTGAAGGGTAGAGTGTACAATGCAGCGGTACGTTCGACCTTACTGTACGGTTGCGAAACCTGGCCCCTAAGATCGGCGGACATGAAGAGGCTACTTACGTTCGACCATCGGTGCCTTCGCAGTTTGGCTCACATCTGGTGGGAACACCGCGTGAGTAACGAGCGTGTTCGACGCCTTGTTTACGGCCTAGGAGAAGGGAATGAACCGCTCAGCACCGTCATTTCACTCACCAGGCTCCGATGGCTGGGCCACGTGTTGCGCATGCCAGCCCACCGACTCCCTCGACGTGCGTTGTTTGCTCACTGGGGATGTGGGTGGAAGAAGAGGAGAGGTGGCCAAGCGATGACTTGGTCCAGAGAAATGAAGGCCCTCACTTCGGAGCTGGCCTCAGTTGGAGCTTCACGGCTCCCTGGTTGGGGTCCAAAAGACGGTGAACACGTTTAGCTGGATACACTTGCTGATATGGCAAGGAGCCGACCTCAGTGGCGTTCCTGCTGTGAGTTTCTTTGTTCCTCCCCATCCCTTTAGCCTCCCCCTCCATCTACGATCTTATTTCGTAGGATAAAACGTAATTAAATTTTTGTTTTTGCCTAGTAGCCGGCTAGTAGCTTACCGGAACGATGCGTATCCGTTGCTGGTAGCTCAGCTGGCATTCAACTGTCGTATTTATTTTTCCTTTATGTATTGTATGTATGTATGTATTTCCTTTATGTATTGCGTTACAATAGCGGAGGTGTTTTACCATCTCTAGCTGACATGTATAATGATGATGATGATGATGTTCCGATAAGCTACTAGCCGGCTACTAGGCAAAAACAAAAATTTAATTACGTTTTACCCTACGAAATAAGATCGTAGATGGAGAGGGAGGCTAAAGGGAGGGGGAGGAACAAAGAAACTCACAGCAGGAACGCCACTGAGGTCGGCTCCTTGCCATATCAGCAAGTGTATCCAGCCAAACGTGTTCACCGCCTTTTGGACCCCAACCAGGGAGCCGTGAAGCTCCAACTGAGGCCAGCTCCGAAGTGAGGGCCTTCATTTCTCTGGACCAAGTCATCGCTTGGCCACCTCTCCTCTTCTTCCACCCACATCCCCAGTGAGCAAACAACGCACGTCGAGGGAGTCGGTGGGCTGGCATGCGCAACACGTGGCCCAGCCATCGGAGCCTGGTGAGTGAAATGACGGTGCTGAGCGGTTCATTCCCTTCTCCTAGGCCGTAAACAAGGCGTCGAACACGCTCGTTACTCACGCGGTGTTCCCACCAGATGTGAGCCAAACTGCGAAGGCACCGATGGTCGAACGTAAGTAGCCTCTTCATGTCCGCCGATCTTAGGGGCCAGGTTTCGCAACCGTACAGTAAGGTCAAACGTACCGCTGCATTGTACACTCTACCCTTCAGAGCGAGAGTAATGTCGCGCCGTCGCCATAGGTGGCGAAGGTTAGCAAAAGCACTTCGAGCTTTCGCTATGCGGTTCGTGATCTCGTCTTCGATCCCAAGGGCGCTGATACAACTTCCCAGGTAATTGAATTTCTGAACGACTTCTAGCTGATCCCCTCCAAGGGTCAGCACAGGGGGCGAACCCTGCCAATCCTGGAGGAACGCTTTGCACTTCGGTGGTGCAAAGCAAAGCCCGAAGCGACTGACAGCCAGTGCTAATCTGTCCAGCGCGGCTTGACACGTCTGGGAGCTGTCACAGATGAGGGCAATGTCGTCTGCATACTCTAAGTCAAGAAGTCGTTCTCCTGGGAGTAGCTCCACACCTTCCAAGTCATGTCCTGTAAATGCAATCTCCATGACTTCGTCAATAGCGAAGTTGAATAGGAAAGGTGACAGCGGGCATCCTTGTCTCACACCGCTGGAGATATTGAAGGGTGGCGACAGCCTGCTGTAAGCCCTTACTCTGCCCGTGCTACGCGCATATAATGCTTGGATAATATTTACATATTTCTCGGGCACACCTTTCCTGAGTAGACAATTCCAAAGGGCACATCGATCAACCGAATCGAAGGCACTTTTGATGTCGAGGAACACGACTACGGTTGGCCGCCAATATGTGTGACGGTGCTCCAACAACTGTCGCAAGGTGAAGATGTGGTCGATGCAGCCACGACCCCGACGAAACCCGGCTTGCTCCTCACCAATCTGGCTTTCACGAGCGCCAGTCAGTCTGTGGAGAATTATGGACGCGAGTAATTTGGAGGCGATGGAGATCAGACTGATTCCTCTATGGTTGCTGCATTCCGAGCGCGAGCCGCCTTTGAAGATGGGAACAATAACGGAGCGGCTCCAGTCGGTTGGGACAGTTTCCTGCTCCCACGAGATGCTTAGTTGGCTACGGAAAAAGTGAAGCGAGATAATATCTCCTCTGTGGGACGCTGCAACATCTACAGTCTGAGTGATGATGACTTCACCAAAGCAACGATCACAAGTATGCCCACCTAAGTTGGAAGGTCGAATTTATAAAGTTAAAGAGAACGCGGCACTTTTTCGATTGTGAAAGGCAAATACCTAGGGTTAACTATTTCGAGTGAATGCAAGTCGTAGAACAGCCAGTAACAACGAAGTGCACAGGAGAAAACGCGATTACAGTAGGCAAAATAGATGTTCAGACGGAAAATGATGAAGAATAAAACGGGGGAAAGGAAGCAGAGATAACACACAGAGATAACACTTTCCCAGGTTGCCGTGAATCAGTTTCATTATTACACGCTAGCTAAAGGTAAGAAACGTCTCGTTTATTGTGCCATAAAATAAAAAGAACATGTATGACAAAACGAAACAAAACATTATAGAATACACAATATAGGTAGAATAATGCATAGCAACATATATTACATTGAGTGCGAGATCGCGGTTGAAGGGGGAAGATAAGCGGGATGGGCAAAGAAGCTCGCAACACAAACAACATTAAGGTCTTCTTCCTCGCCATGTTGTCTAATATATCTAACCGAAAGTGTTCATCGTCTTGGTAGACGGCAGACACCACCAAACGTCAAGTTCGAAGTGACAACCTTCATTCCTCTTAACCAAGTCGTCGTTTGACCTGTTTTCCTCTTCTTCCATCCACACCCAGATCGCGCAAACAGCGTACATCGCGAGAGTCGATGTGCTGGGATGCGCAACACGTGGCCCAGTCGTCGGAGTCTGGTGCGTGATATAATGGTGTTGAGCGGTTCTCTCAGTCTTTCTGCTGTGAAAACGCGGTGCGAATGTACAGGTGGTCAAGCTTAACCAGCCTCTCTACGTTTGTCGATTTGATGGACCAACTTCCACAACTATACAGTAAGGGTGAACGCGCAGCTGCGTCATAAACTCTGACATTCAGGTTGAGGGTGATGTCGCACTGGAACCATAGGTGGCGAAATTGGCTCAAGCGCCTCGGACTTTTGTAATACGGTTCGTGGTCCCTTACACTACAAGCGTTAACACAGATGACATAAGCGCACATAGAGGAGTACGGCAATACTGATCAAAAGCTAGAAGGCCGTGTGCAAAGCCATAAACTGAGGTGAATGACACCTCGGTTCTCCCAAACACTCCTAAACTGATGTGTCACATGAAAAGAGGTGAAGGTAATGATATTCTGTGGAACAGCACGACACCTGAAGGGAATTCGACGGAGAGGACGGATGAAAAAGTAACGAAAATTCGACTTCCAAATGTTCCATGTTAACTGGACTCATGAGTATGCAAACACAGGGAAAGGCAGTAAAGAAAAGTCAAGAAGGTAAACAAACATATCGCAAAGAAAAACGCGTCACAGCAACAACGAGGCAGAGAAAGTCCACAAAAAATCAGAGGTCAAGTACTGGGCCAACAATCTGTACCGACCGATCGCAAATTCGCGTCAGCTCCTTCTCCATCTGAAACAATGGAAAGCAAAAGTGGGTGAGAGAAAAACAACGACGGTGAGGAAATGGACGGTAAGATGGAGCGAATCAACAGGCAATGTATCGTGTGGTAACAGAGACAATTGCACTACTGAATGGGGAAGTGCATCATGAAAGAAAGGGCCGAGAGACTCTACGCGCAGAACGCGTCGTGCGAACCTCTCGTCTCTTCTACGTGACTGTATTGTCTCTGTCACCTCAATGCCTAAAGTTATCAACCATTCCACTTGTAGATTGTGGTGACAAGTCCAATTCAACTCACGTGACCTTTACACTACACACGTACAAGATTGCCAGTTTGTTCCAAGCTACGTGTGTTTCGCACCGAGCGCATTAGCAACCAGACTTTATAGCTGTTCTACTTCTCATTCAGCACATGTTCCAACCTGATGACTGTTGCGACCCAACTGGTTAGTAGCATTACTGTACCACTCCATCGTACATGTGCAGCTATAATGCACTGTGCTCACAAAGCCAGACAACTGGCCATGAGTCATGCTACACTGTCCACTGCTCATATATATATCTCCGTGGAATCCTGCATGGTCCTTGGTACTTCACTGTGTGTCCTTCGCACTAGAGCGCAGGAGCGAAGCGGACTGTCGGTTGTTTGAGTTGAAAGCACCATAGTTGAGGCGCGTATGCTTATTGTCCTCTAACCAGTCACCAACTAGTACCGTTTACCGTGATCGATTTTGTTGTTGAATTTGATACTAGGGGCCGGAGGACGTGTAGCTCGTATTCCAGCCGAATCTTACCGCCTACTCTAATAACAATAATAATTCAAGCACAAGACGCGAACATGCAAAGTAATGGAACCTCAGTTGACCAATCAGTTCGAATGTGAGAATACTGAAGAACTACAATCAATAACATGTTCAATAGCTAACAGTTCAGGCAGGTTCAGTTGACTTACGAAACCAACTAGCTCTTTGCACAAATTTCGACAACGGATCAATTCTGTAGCTTGGATCTCCTGTTCGGCACTAGCTTCTTGAACACGCAGTTCCGATTCCTTCACACGGGCTTTGGCGCGGAGGACTTGAGAGTTTAGATCCGAAATACTGTTAACCAAGCGATCTAAGTAGCCCGGTTTGCTGCGAATCATGAACAGTTGACTGATACGACTGGAATCAGAGGATACGATCAAAGTGAGCCACTTCTTATCCGAACATGAAAGGTTAAACATTGGGGGTAAGCAATGTTAGCCGAAAAGCAAACACAGGAGTCTACTGACAGTTCATTAGAAAGTAACGATAATAGATCATTTAATTGATTGAGACGTCAATATCTTTCCCATAGGTATACTTATTCAATAGTTGGTGTAAAAAAATGGGGTGCAGTTTCGATGAGAAGCCACACCGATTAATTCACTGAAGAAACCAATGCTATACACTCAGTGATGAATAGTACAGTGAGTTCATAAAGTATGGGACGATTTTAACACATCATCTGAGCACCTCCCCTTTGTGATGGGGCTGACAGATGGAGCTAATGGAATCATCCGCCGCAGTGTGGTCGATCAGGCAATCAATCGAGTAGGCAGGTGAGTTTTGAAAATCATATTTAGTTGTACTTTACCTGAAACCTGTAGATAGAGTGTATGCGTACCGAGCCGGTTCAAATTCATTCTGTTGACGCGGCTGGGTGAACCAGGCACCGAACGTAGTGTCAGAGGAAAAGAAAAACCCGATGAGCGATCAGCAGCTTTGCTTTGGCTGGCAGCCATTTGTAGCGATGTTTACTCGATTAGAGATGACGGAGGGTTCACTGCCCGAAAACTGGCGCCTATTGAGAGCGGTGTGGATGAACTTCGCGACACTGATCGAGTTGGATGAATATCCTATGCCGTATCAGTTAGCGATGCTCAGATACGCCGTCGGCCATGATGCGGTACGGATACTAGAGGCCTGGAATCTCTACGATCAAGACCAAAAATCGGATCTTTCAGAGACGCACGAACGA